CATACTATAAGAGTATTTCCACAACCTCAGTGCGAAGTTACAGTTTGTTCTTAACTCTGGCCTGGTTGGTGAAACAGATTGTTGTGACATTGATTCTTACAAAACGGCGTTTTAACATTCAAAAGTCTCAGTAGAAATGCAAACCTCAGTCGGTGTAAAAACTAAACATACAAAAAGAAACAAAAAAGACTTGAGTGACAAGCTGCAGCAGCACAGAGAGGGACTAAAGATAAAGATCCTCCACAATATTCGGTTCTCTTCTTAGCTATTCACATTATAACAGGGCAACTCATTGAAACAAAAACATCCTGAATGCAACATATTTCTGCAATGGACTCCCTTCAGAGGAGCCTGATTAAAATGTGGACCTTTACTCCAGTGTTTACAGCCTTATAGTAGAGTTAAATGTGACTTTTATGTTATTTTATTCTAATAAGCATTTTCTGAGCTTACAGGTTGCAGACATGAGATAGTGTGACACAATATTGTTTAGAGAACATAAGAAACCCAGATGTTAAAATGGACTCCAAACTAAACTCTCAAAACATACAGAAAAATATCCTCTACCCACCTTAAACATAAAAAAAACCCCTTGAGTTTCCTGTTGAAACTAGATAGAAAATGGGAAAGATCTTACAATGGTGTCTCTACAGCTTGGATGTAAAAGTCTTCCTTCTGGCAAATATGATCAATATTGATCATTGATCATATTGATCATTTCTATCTGATTTTACTAGAAGTAAATGTCAGCAATCACCAATAATCACAATCTTACAGTACTGTTTGTATTCGGTTGAATTTTGCCTGACATCTAATTTTAGTTTGTTGGCATATGTGAACTGATCAGAAGTGAAAGCAGGTTTTTCTTGAATCCATCACATTATTTGAACACATTTATGTACATATATTCATAAATATACACATTCAAACAAGCATATACATCTTTATACAATTATAAACTATAACATACACGACTACAACCATTGTAAAAATATATATGCACTCATGAACAATGAGTCAGTTCACCCATTGTTGTTCACCACCCTTCTTCCACATCGTATCATAAGAAAACCAGTTTGAGCCCTTTTCTAAAAAGGCTCCTGATTGGACATGGCCTCAACTATTCATTACTTGAAATGCTTCTTTTCAGGTTTGCTGAAGCACATTTTTAAATTCCTTCAATTATACACTCCCTCTCTCTCTCCACAACATGCTTTTGTATCCTGTCTGCTAGCAGTTTATTTCTAGCCTTTCACATTAAATGTAAAGTTTGAAATTCTACCAGATTTGATTTAAGCAAGTAGGAATGATTGAATAATGGATTAGTGTGGTGGTGACAGCAGCATTAGGAATTATCCTGATGACTCTTTTCTGCAGAAGTATAAGAGTTTGAGTAATGTCCTGTAGGTGTTATCAATCTTCTCTACAAATCTGAGGTATGGTCAAATCAATGTACATTAGTGAATATTTAATGTTTTCTAATTAAAATGTTTTATTTTACTAATATTTGTGATGCTTCTAGATAATTTAGTCCCGACATGTTTGAGGGGAGGCTTCCAGCAGATCTTATAGTCAATAATCACACCTTTTTTTGATTTACACATCACACCTCTAACCAATGTATTTTGACGTTCACATCTCTTCCTCCTTTATTATTTGCAAATAATGTGAAGATACGTTTTTTTTTTCTTTTTAGATTTTTCTTTCTAGATTTAAGGATAATATGTTTTTGTGGAACTTTTTTTTTAGCTTATTCATTTCTGGCGTGATATCAGCAGCTTTAAGCTCTTACCTGTACAGAAAATATTTGCATCATCTGCAAAAAAAAAAAATAAAAAAGATACTTTATATGATGCTGTTTATGGAGATAGTAAACAGTATTGTTGCCAATACTGACCACTGGGGGGCACTACAATCAATTATCAAACCACTGCTTGCTACGGTACTTAAAAAAGCTCCCCATTCAGTCCAGAGCAACCACATAAATGATAATGCTCTAATTTCATGATTACTATATTGTGATCAGTTGTCTCAAAAGCTTTTGTTTTTTTTAGACCAATTCCAAACTTCTTTATTTCCAGAATGTTCAATGCTGTGGATCTAATTCCATACTGAGTAGTTGTGTATATTATTCAAGTTTAGCTAATAAAGAGTTTTTTAAAATTATTTGAAAACCGTGAACGTAAACAAAAAAAGGAATAATGTAGAGGTCAGAGGTGGATTATCCAGGTCCAGAAAGTATAAAGCCTTTACAACATTTAGTTTTCATTATTTGCAATTCCAGTTTACAAAAAAGACAGGGGGCCATCATCTGGCTAATTGAACAGCATAAAGGACCTCGATTATCCACCTGGATAGAGGGGGAGTTTCTGCATTGAAAACTGTTGCAGTGACATCCAATTATAATGGCTTTATTAGGATTTAAGCTAAAACTTTGGTATAAAAACATTTAAGGTGTTTCATGCTTCACGTTAAGTTCAAGAGTAAATCAGTAACTGACTTTTTACAAAAAAGGATAGAACGTTTGCTGTTTTTCTATTGTTACTGTTTATTATATTTATATGACATAATTAATGTATACCCCTATACACCTAATCCGAAAGCAGTACTAAGAGAAAAAATGTTTAACAAACATTTAAAGGTCAGAAGTGTAAAAGCTTGGATATTGAATAGGACATTTATTGGTTTTGATATTATGATACTTGACTTGTATTTACTTTGTAACGGACCAATAGTAAAATAATGAGTATACCACACCTATAGAGGATACTTATGGTTTTACATTATATTCTTTATTTTATGAAAAACTACACTGAAAAAATAATGCAACAATTTTTGGCATTATTTAATCATATTTAGTTACTTCAACATAATTGTTTCATGTTAGCATGGTTGGACATAAAATAATTATGTTAAAGTAACTAAATACGATTAGTAAATGCCAAAAATTGTTGCATTATTTTGTTCAGTGTATAATATGTTTACTTCCAGTTATTTTTGATTGTTTTGTTTCCTCAAGCTTCATTGAGTTAAATTTGGGACTCTGTGACCTGAAAACAATCATAAATTGAAATCACAAGAGAATCATTGAAAAATAATATTTCTTTTAACTTAATTAGTAACCATAAATAAGGAAGAAAAAAAAAAAGTTAAATTTTTTTAATTTTTCAACAAAAAATAAATAAATTCTGTTTCATTTATGTTATACTTCCAAGAGTTTGCAGATAAGGATCAATATCAGGGCCTTGTAGATTTCTTACAGAATAAACAACTGAATTTATTTAAAACTCAAGACCTCCTTGCTTGCAGGTAAAAGCCCTTTTAACTGTACTATAGACTGCACATCATCATGATAATATAAAGTTTCACTTGGATTAGTGTAATAATAACATGTTAAAAATGCATGTTTTAATATTATAATATTGGATTGGTTGCATTTATATAATCTTAACTAACTTTACCTTAAGTAAATATATTTCAGTTGATTGCATTTGACAAGTGTGATTCTTTTCTAATACTGTTTTAAACAAAATGATGTTCATGTTTTTCAAGAAAGCTCTGTTTTTGATTCTTTTTTTCAGCATATTTTCGTGCGGAGCTTGCAGGTTAGACCAGTCTCCCATTGTTTACACCCCGGACCAGCTGCCAGCCCTACGGAGCTCCTCTGTGTGCCCACAGAAAGAGCCCATATCCCCTTGCGAGCTGAGGAGGAAGACACGTGGCAGCCGTGCGGGAATCAGGCGATACCACTGGAGAAGGAGGTAGAGACATGTCATCCCATCAGTCATCAGGGGCAACATCAGATCTCTCTCCAACAAGCTGGATGAGCTGGCGGCTATAACACACAATCAAAGATGCTACGGAGAGGGAAGCATCCAATGTCTGACTGAGACTTGGCTAACTGCACTAACTCCAGACTCTCATGTAAAAATGGACGGATTTCATCTACTTTGGTCCGACAGAACCAGAAGAGTGGTAAGAATATATAAGAGTTATATAAGTGTTATTTAAAGAGTTTGTCGTGAGTGATCTCTTTTCAGGGAAAAGGACCGGAAAGATAGAGCATGAGGGTGCATACGCAGAGCCTATCTTTAACAAGTGAGTGAAGAAAGTGACGTCATAGTTGAGGTGGCTCAAGAGGCAGGGGATGGATGAGGGTCTATTTTAATATAAAGTTGTGTATCGTTTGCATAGCAGTGAAATAATACATGAAAGTTGGAGATGATTTTGCCAAGGGGGTAAATTTAGAGAATGAACAGTAGGGCTTAAGTACTGATCCTTAAGAAAACCCACAAGTGATTGCATGATTTCTGGAGGTGGCTTTCCTCAGAGAAACAGACAGTCCTGTCAGTAGGGTAAGAGAGGAACCACATAAAATACAGTGTCCTGTAGCTGAATGTGGTGGAGTTTATTAAGGATGAAAAGATCAAATGTCAAATGCAAATGCTATGCAAAACAGGATGAGAAGTTGGATCGGCATCTGCTGCCATTAGGTCATTGGTGACCTTGATAAGAGCCGTTTTGGTGCTTCGGGCAGGCTGGAATCCAGGATGAAGCTTTTCAAACAAATTGTTGGTGATAAAATGGTAATGAAGCTGTAAACTTTCTGCAGAATTATTTCCTGCATCCAAACTATGGTACCAATATGTGCTGTCTGTCTCCAAATAGTCCAGGCTGATGACGGCTTTTGCTGCAAAAGTGCCAAAATTGTGGTGAATAAGCAATGATGCTAAAACAGATATTAAGTTTCTCCATACTTTGGATGCCGAGGTTGCAAATATGACAGATTCGATACCAAAGGATAACAGGAATGGGTTTTAAATAATTTTTGTTTAACTTGCATTTTTTTAAATAAATATAACAACATCAAAGCGGATCATTAGTTATTATATGTAGTTTAACTCAATTTGTTGTATCTAGATTTGCAATGATTTAACCTGACAGTAGGAGGCACTACAGATTTGTTTCTGTTTTTAAGAAAAAACAAAGTTTATTTCAAAGCAGATGCATTTTTTTTATTGACATTGAATAAAAAATTGTATTACAGTAAAATAGAGGGAATGTTTTTACAAATGAGGAGGTAGTTTGACATTAACCACCATCAGTGGTTTTAACAGAGTCAAAGACAGTTTCCCCTCAACATTCAAGTGCTCAGTTTCTGTTTAAACAAAACGTCCAGAAGAAGGCTTATTCCAAACACTGGCCGCCTATTCAGCCTGTTGACAGTTAGGGTTCTGGCTCCTTCTTCACAACGTCATCTTCGTCTTTGAGTCGGCTTCTTGGTTCGCTGCTGTTTCCTGAAGTCAATAAGGCATCCAGTGGCCTCAGAAATGGGGGTGAATGATCTGATGGGAGAGTTACTGACCCTGTACCCTGAAACCTCCTGTTCTCCTTCATCTTCATCATCGTCGTCATCCCGCAGATCAATAACTGCTCTGTAAGTCAGACACAAACACACAGAACGGATTAACTCAAATCATTCAATGAAAAAAAAAACTGCAAAAAAGAAGGAACGACACAGAGTGGTGTCAAGATATAACTGACTTGTTGTAATTTTAAACTGCTTCCATTTATTTACTTATTAAGTTTATTCAAAGTCTTCAAAAGAAAAAAATTAGATGGTTAAAAGAACCTAACTGAAATGGCGAGTGAGCTGTCAAATCATATACCAGTGCCCAAAAATCCTGTTGGTACTGCTCACTGACAAACGGCTCGGTTCTGATCGGCATACAGTGGGAACATCTGAACCAGGTGGAGTCACTATTTTCTTGATACCATTGGCAGTAAGAACATGCAAACTCCATGCAGAAAGACCCCGGGCCGGGGATCGAATCCAGAACCTTCTTGCTGCAAGGCAGCAGTGCTACCCACTGCACCACTGAGCAGCCCGTAGTTCTGTGCAATATATATAAAAAATGTTGTCTTACTCTGGTTGGGGTTTGGATCCTGACGGTCCTGCACCTGTGAACACAGTCAAATATAATAACGTCAGAAACATAATAAGATCTTTCTAGTAGTACTTTAACTTACAGAAGTTTCTTAGTGTTTTTCAAAGAATGAACATATTATGAGTGAGGTCAAAACTCCTCTATTGCCTGGTTAAAAACAGATTCTAATGCAGAACGAAAAGGAGATATAACGACCAGCCTGAAGATGCTTTTGGTTTGTTAGGAATTTGAATCACCCATGTCACTTATATGTTAACTTCAAAACCTAGTTTGCTGCCTAACACCAATTATTTAATCAATTACATTTCCTTGCATTTTAAACAAGGAACAGAATAACCTACTTTACCACAATTATTAGGATTAACTATGAACATGAGAGAGAAGCTGCTAAGCCTTAGCTCCCTCTAGTGATCTGATTAAGGAACTGCACTTGTATTTACAAACTCCACCTGTTGCAGGGGAAACTAACATTGATGAGGCCCCTTTACACCTGAAAGTAACAACCCAAACACACCAGCTTATTCAGAGAAGGGATGAAGAACCTAATACTAATATTTCATTATAAAGTTTCACCAAAATACCTCTACATACATCAAAATCAAAGCAAACTAATAAAGTCAAAGTTTTATTTAATGCCAAACTAACATGATTCTCTTCAGAGGTTTCTTAAAAGGAAAAGTTGGGAAAAAAACTGATAGAAGTGTGTGGAAAAATATTTTTTTCAAAAAAAGGACTGACCTGAGTTCCTGCTTTCTGTTTGCTCCAGAGCAGACAGCAGATTTCCTTTCTAAAGTTTGCAGGGGAAAAAATAACAAAAAACCAGAGTTGAACACTGTTTTCGCTGCCACCAAGTTTAATGTACGATTAAAAACTTTTTTCAGCTTACGGCTGCCCTCCTGAATGTCCCACGCTGAACGCAGAGCTCTGTGTGTCGGCTGTAATCTTTTAGAGGAACATTTTTCTGACAGATATAACATTTCTCCTGCCGTCTGTGGAGCAAAGAATCAGTTTCAATGTTCTTTGAAAGGCTGTAGAATGTAGCTCTTGAATGAGACTAGCTCCATAAGGTTTGGATTGTACAATCCTAAAAGGTAAAACAAGAATGACACAGTGGCTGCTAGTCTGAGTGCATTCTTCAAACACTGGTTTCAACAGACCTGCAAACATCAGACAAAGTAGTGAATTCCTCTGACGACGCCTCTGTTCTCTTCATCCTCTTCCTGCGAGGTTTTGTTGAATCTGTCAGTTGGGAGAATAACACCAGTATAAAATACCGGGTAAACCGCAAGTCTCTAAATCTTTAAGGTAAAGTTCTATGCTAGTCAGACTAGTTCAAGTTGCTGTTAATTCAAGTTTCCCCTTATGGTACCTCTGTTGTCTAACCTCAGGTTTACCACTGAAAGGTTTGGTTTTATCAGTGTGCTTTAACTTTTGAAAGCTCTAAACCTGCATTTATAAAATGAGCTACACTCCAACAAGGGACAAAACTTACATTTCTATCTAGAAAAGAGTTACTTAACCATTATCATTGATAACTAGATATAAGTAAAGTTTTTTTATTTTGAAAAATAAAGATTGATAGCCTGTTAGTTTTGGTAATAACTGATGTTGCCAGTTGCAGGGTTTTATCGATCTCCAGCTTAATGTTGATGAAACAGTAACCCCTCATCCTCCGTCACCGCTCCGCCTTGCTCACGTACATCATGCAGAACACTTGTGAAGTTATGCTAAACAATGAGAACTGTTCACGTTACCATCCACTTACGTCTTCTCAGTCCTTTACCATCAAAATACGGAGCGGAGCCATACTTTGCTCCCCTCCGGTCTGGAGTGAAAATCGCATCAAACAGAAAAAAGTTCATTGAGAAGATCTGGTTTGTTAAATTAAATTATAGTAACGACAGCTCGGTATCTACAAATTAGAGCATAATTCTTATACATTCCCTAAAACTAAGAATGTTTAATTAAATTATCGGATGCAAACTATTGGTACTTCCAACATACCAGGAAGCAGATTACTCACCTTGATCAAAATGTTTATCTTATACCGAGAGGCTTAAAAGTTTCAACAAATCCAATCACAACAACTTCCAAGAGCGCATCTGACAACTTAAAAACAAACCTCTTATCGTGGGCATGGATGAAGAGATGCTGAGTTTGGAAGTAGAGAACAATCAGAGTTCATACAAACCAAATTTGTATGATCCTAGTTATATCTGTTACAAAAATCCACAACAAAAAGAAAATATTTGGGCAGAAACTGCACATGTGCTGGATGCTGATGGGGATTTTTGACTTTGTCATATTAAATTAAGCATTAATTTCCGCATGATTTGCTCCTATGAATGTAATAATAATAATAATAATAATATCGCGCATGCTCTCCTCGAGCTCCAGGGAAGTCAGAGCGGAGCAAGATGGGAGGAACCGTGGAGGCTGTAGGCTTTGCTTTGCCCAGGCAGTCTGTAGCGCAGCAGGGCTGAAGGGAGCGGAGGATGTGGGATTTCAGGGTTACAATGTTTCATTAACTTATTATGTTAGACTGGATCCCACTTTAGCCCCTCCCATTATCTCAAGCTTGTTTTTGTCAAGACAAAGGTTTCCTTGCATCTGTTTTGTAATAAATTTTGAATGATTTTCTTCTTTATTTTCAAATGTTTGATTATCTAAATGCAATGACATAAAACTGTCTTCTAGTGATCTTCTAATCATGGGATATTTATATCACGTGAAACAGCATGTTAAACAACAAAAAATATCAATCAGGTTCTATAATTTTCAAATCTGTATAGGTTTATCCCTTTCTCAGGTTAATGCTGCCAAACTAGTCAGTGAGTGTTGCTGAGATTTAAATGTGTGCGTCACCTTGGACATGATCGCTTTCAGGCACCCTCTGGTTGACTACAGTCACCTCTCCATCACAGTAAGCCGCATGCATCTCAATTTTACTTGCAGGAAAGGATCCCTGGCAGATCGGGCAGTCGATAGAGGTTTTAGGGCTATGAGGGACCACATCAGCTTCCAGTTCAGGAGATTCTGATCGTTGAAGACCTTTGTCTTCTAGCTTCACCACATCTTGATTCTTCTTGTTCTCTGTTACTTTCTCTAACTCCTCTGCTGTGTTTTGTGCAGCATCTTCTCTGCACTCAGGAGAATTTTCCTCCATGCTTGAATCTGTTTGGGCTAAAGACAATTACACATGAATTCCCCTCTGGCAATAAATCTATCCAATAGCAAAGCAAACCAGAAGGTTAAATGAGTTGTTTTTACTTTTCATTCTTTGCTCCAGCTCCTGAGGCATGCTTCTGGTCGGAGTATCATCTCTGATAAGCATCTTGATCTCAGACAGCTCAGGACTTTTCTGTGGATGCTGAGAGGATATCTGAGAGGAAATAAGATACAAAGAAAATGATTATAAGACAATTCAAAGGAAATCTCATTATTTATTTAGACCAACCCTATTATTCCTAAACAACCCTGAACCTAAGAATATTTGTAATCTTTTGCAAGTCAATTGTTGCACCATTAAGGATCCAGTTGGCTGAGAGGTGTACAAGGTATAAAACACATTTAGATTAAAAAATGACATAATTAGGGTCCAGCTGAGTAGTCAACAGGGACCAGCTTTGGATTTGGATTAAAAGTTGTTGTTTTTTTAATTTACTGAATCATTTCCTTTTGAAGCTTCCATGAAGCTAATGCAAAAACGTGAGGTTTAAATCTGGTTTATTTACATTAAAGGAGTTACCAGTAAATATGTTCATCATCATTGATGATGATGGAGTTTGAACAATATTCACCGCTATACATTTAAACAGTGAAGCTTAAAGTCAATTGTGTTTTGATGTTACTGTTTCTTTGTCTTAAAGTGTTAACGAAGTGTGGGAAAAGAGAATGGGAGTTAGCACTTTATGAAAAAATATGACTTAAAATGGATAAACAAAACTTTGAAGAAGCTTGCAAATCAGATCTACAGAGGTGTGTTTTTTAAAGCTATATTTCTTTCTTCACTTAGCTTTCCTTGATTCTGCTTTAAATTCCGTATTCTTGACACCTGAGCTATGATGGATGACATGCTGAAGTAAACAATAAGACTGATAATGATGACTTTTTTTGTCCCGTGTTGAGTCCAATTGGTTCCCAAACATATTAAGCTCTAGTAAAAAGCCCTATTCTCCTTGGCCAATCTCTAAATAGTTCTTAAATTTTCTAGTAAGGAGTCACTACCTCCAAATTTAACCTCATTACTGATATTTTTCTAGCTTTTGGCAGGGAGCTGACCTGTGTTTCAGTGTCGGTCACCAAGGAAAGCTCTGTCGTGCCGTCGTTGTCGCTCAGTTGAGTTTCTATTTATAAACAGGAGAGATTATTTTAAAGTCAGCAGCTCAGATATGTGAAAACAGAAGTGTTAAATCCATAAAGCTAAACTTCTGTACCTGGACAAACCTCACAGTCATCAGTATCCATCTGTTCTTCATCGCCGTCCTTCTGCTCCTCATCCTCCTCCTTTCCTTGCTGTTCCTCTTCTCCATCATCATCTCTCTTCTCTTCTTCCTCGTCAAATTCAGGGGCTTTGCTCCTTTTGCTGCTTCTCAGTCTGAAGCCTCTCCTGACAAATATGACCAAACAAATCAGTGGAATGACTGAACTGATCTTAAAACAATTCAGATATGGAGTGCTAAATTGTGTGGACAAAAAAAAAAAAAAAAAAAAACTGTGTGCAATGATTAACCATGTTGCAGGTGATATACAAAGACTAAATACACTAAACAATCAATGCAAACTGGTTCGGTTTAGCCCCATGTAAATGAGCTAATTGCATTGGCTACTGGCAGTTTTAGGTTGGTTGTAAAAGCAAGTTAAAGTTTTAAGCCATGGATATGGAGGTGATAATGATAATGACTAATATCATGTAATGTTAACTTTACATAAATATCTCAAGGTGCTATAAAAAAAAAAAAAAAGATAAAAGTCTCAGATAAAAGGAGAGTCAGGGATGCTTACTTACAGGCGCCCCAAACAAGTTTGATGAACCGCTTTGCAGGTGCTGAGTATTTAGTTAGCATATTCTCCACCCATAAATTTGCGGGGTTTGATCATTAGAATATGATCTGCATATTCATAAAGGCACACGCACAACAAGTTAGCGGCCGCTTATTTTTGGACATGCAACCACTTTGAACCTTGTGTAAAGATACAGTTTGCATGTGGAAACAGGTTTGCACCGTTTGTTACAAACAAACCTTTTGAAGATCCGACCCTAAATGCTGTCAAACAACTCTGATTCTCCAATATCAGTGAACTTGTTTTATGTTGTGCCATTCAAAGATTTGGATTTGCATGAGACAGCCTCAAGAACAGGCCAGTAAAACTGTTCAACTTCTTACTTGTACATATTAACTTTTGGTCAAATTTAGTGCAATAGCACTGAGCTACAAGCAGCATCACACATTTCAACAGAGGTGTGTAAAACAAATAGGAGAGCATGAAAAAACCTGAAGAGGAGCAAATACTTAACTATGTCCTGGGAACTTTAAAACATGGAAAACCAAGTCACAACCACAGATCAATTGATTCGGCATGTTTTTTGTGTGCCTTTTTTTTATGTGATAAACATGAGATTCACACGAATTTTGTTTCATTTAATTCCATCATTAGGAGCCCTATCAACATAAATTTCAATTTTTACCAAATAAAATGATCCAAAATAAGTTTTACCTCCGAGGACGACCAGACTGGGGTGATTCAGCAGGTGCTTCAGGGGACAGTGACTTCTAAGGGGAAAAAAAGATTGAGAAATGTTTTAAGATCTGCTAGATTTGACCTGATTCCTCTTACACATATAAGCTGTTATTAACATTTACACCTGTGTTAAAAAATACAAGAACATTAATGTCTACATTATTCCCTGTATCCCTTTAAATACCTACCTGACGAATTAGTCACTAGAACAGGTAGCAGGATAATAAGAAACAGTCAGTTACAGCATGCATGCTACTGATTGTGTGAATTAGAAATAAAAGAAGTAAAGTAGTAAATTACAGCAGTCTGAGGTGCAGTCAGCAAGGTAATTTATTCAGAGAACAGGTGTAAGATGGGAGGCCTTTTATTTCCAAGAACAACAGCCTGTTTACACAGGATTCCCACTGAGAAGCTGAGTATAAACAGCATGCTTTCAAATAAGTTTAGGCAGTGTATACAACTTCAGACATTTGGGTTTAGATGATTAAAGCAAGTGCCTCAAAATGGCAACAAATACCAGGAAGATGTGGAAAAAATTTTGGAAACTCCCCCGTTCATGGACGAATGAAAAGATCAAATGATTTGATAATTAAACAAGGTCTAAAGTTACCTGAGGTTACTGTAACAACTAGAAAATGTCAACAAATGTCTTCAGTAAGCAAATGATGAGGTGACTGTTTGTCATAGAAAATATTGAATGGCAGCCAGATGGTGGCGCAGTTTGAGCACAGTTGTTTTGCAGCCAGAAGGTTCCAGGAACGATTCCCAGCCCAGGATCTTTCTGTTTTCTCTTTGGGTACTCCAGCTTACTTCCACAGTCCAAAAACATCACTTTTAGGCTAATTCGCTTCTCTAAACTGTCTTTAGGTGTGAGTGTGTGTGAGCATGGTTGGGTGTCTCTTTGTTGCCCTGCGTCAGACTGGCGACCTGTCCAGGGTTCACCCTGCCTCTCGCCCAAAGACTGCCGTAGATAAGCACCAGCCACTTCCTGACGGAATAAGTCGGAGAAAATGAATATAGATATTGACTTGCATGATATGTTGCAGCTATTTTAAAAACTGATTAGGTTGTTCTTTCTGGTGAAACCGAAATCCTCCAACTGCTGTTATGTCCAAGACTCTCAGCAGCCTCTCTGCACTGTGCTACATAAACAACACGGCTCAACTTTGGTTTGGGTGTCCTGTCTTTGGTTTTTGCCTTCGTTAGGATAAAATCTTCCTGAGTTTCTCAGAAACTCCTGATACATATCAAATCACAACGTTATTGTGTCTATTTCAGCATTGTGCACAGGGGGCCTCCTTGAGGTCCAATTATAGAAAACAAAGTGTTAAAGTGCAATCCTCTGAGCCAAAAACTGCGCCTTTAGGGAATAAGATTCTTGTATTCCTTAACGTGCACAGCACAGGGAAAAAAAGGCAACATTGCATCCTGTTTGGTGGACTTGATGCTTCTGTCCACTGAGTCTATCACTGTATTTGCAATTTGTGGTTGATAGGCAGAGGTCCAGCAGCTTTAAAATCGAATTAGTTTTAAAGTTGTCCTGTCTTTCAGGATTTCTTCATGTCCAGTTATTTTCTGACTGTGTTCACTGCCTCTGATGATTTGATGCAGGTAAAAAGAGAGGTTAAATAAAAAAAAAAATTAAAAAAACGGTTTCACCTGGTTCTAGTCTCAAGTGCAAGACTTGGGAAAGTAATTGTGTGGAGTTCTGAATTAAGGGATGAGTGTTTATAACCATTGAAGCTAAAACAAGATGTTTTGAAGTATTATATGCACCTGAGTTAATGCTGCTGACAATGGAGCTGACAATTTATGATGGCCTTATATGCCTGACCTGTCCTGACTAGACCAGACCAGTGTCTAGTCAGCTCCATCTCTGCAGAGGGACAGATTTCAAACACTTAAGAAACATAGAGATCCGAGAGCTGCAAAGCCATTAGGAGGACCACGAAGAAAAGAATGAATCAAGTTAAAAACTAAAGTTGATTGCTTCACCTCTGGCTCTGGCTGGATAGCCTTCCCCCACTCAGCCTTCCTCAGTAGGCCCCTTTGAGCTTGTTTCAAACTCTTCTCATAAACCTCCATCTGAGCCACGATCACCTTAGGAAAAAAAAAAAAAAAAAAGAATTAAATCAGTATGTCTGTGTACCACTGTAATTTGACATTAATGCTGAAATTAGGAGTTTAAACATTCATTAGTTGACAGTTTTTCTCCAGATCAAGCATAATCATTTAACTCTTCCATATTCTTAACTGGCTAGAAATTGAAATCCTGGGTTTGTTCTGCTGGGAATTACTTTCTTAAACATGCTACAGCCAATTGGATAATAAGTTAATCTTTTATTTATCAGTAGGAATCACCTGGGTGTATGTGTCTGGGTCCAGGCCTCTTGGACAGAAGGGAACCCCCCAGTAGTAGTGAATCATCTGGTCGCCTGATGATTCTCCAGGTGGTGGTGGTGACTCCCTGGTGACTCCCTGTCTGCTCACAGGATAGAGCTCCTGCCCTGAGGTGCAACATGGCTGCTGGCTGTTGGACATACAAGGATTAGTTCTAAGTGATGCATGTTTATCTAGTCTGAAATCCAAGTTCTAGGCTTTCTAACTATAAACATGAATGGAGATGCATATCAGATTGGTCATGAAGGAATGGTTCCAGATTTTAGGTGCTTTACAGTGACATCTTCCAGAGGATCTGTGCCACTGTGTTTTATAAAATAACTAAACTCAGTAAATATACAGAAATGCTGCAGATTAATGTATAGTTGGATTCAAATTACAATTTAAATGAAGCTGCTTGTTTCCAAGTAAATGTAGAACATCACAAAAGAACAAATGTGTCATCTAACGTGAACTATAAGAGTAAACAAAAGATTAATTCTGGAAGTTCCTCTATTTGTTTAGCATCTCAGACATGTATATGTGTAAAGAGTGAGCATCTATTGAACACAGGCTCTATTCTAGAGACTAAATATACCTTATTAACATGCAGAATGAGCTACTAAAACAGAAAAGGTGCAGGAGCGCCTCTGACAGTAAACATATTACAATTTGAACAAGGATTTAAAAGTTCCCCATGTATAATTTTAGATTTTATTTTGACCTCAAAGGGCCAGTCGGGGATATCTAAGGCAAAATAATCCTGAAGAGGTGGCTAGAATGAGGAGAAATTCCCAGAAGATTCATGATGGGATAGTTAGCTGAATCTTTAAGGCTTAGAGCCTGAAAAAGCACAGCGGGGCTCATAAATAATGCTGATGCTGTTACAATATTCTCTAAAAACACATCACATAGGCAGTGGAAAAGTAGTAAGAGAAAAATAAAAAATCTTTGCACACATTGTATTCATTATGTACACATATGCTAGTAAATGTACACACATTACATGTAATGTAAACGTAGATCCCCTTATGGTCTCCCAATAGAGAAATTCACTCTCTGCATTTAACCCATCCCCTTGGGGAGCAGTGGGCTGCCATTTTGTGGCGCCCGGGGAGCAGTCATGAGGTTAGAGGTCATGTTTAGAAACCCAGAGTGGAGGCTGTGGGGATTCTAACTGGTTACTTGCAACCTTCTCAGACACAATCGCACTGCTCCCACCACTAGGCCAACACTCCCAACTCTTCTCTTATATTTCTCTGGTAGTTGTTTTTCTTTTCTGTTGCTCTATTCCTTCTATTGTTAAAGTAATAATATATTAGTGTAAGAAAAGTTTCATTCCAAGCAGGGTTAGAAAAATTCAGCAGCATGCAGCCATGTGTCATGATGGGGGATGGAGCATTGCTTTACTGTTGACACACACACCCATGCATCGAGTATAAACCAGGCTTTAAGCAGAATATCATTTAACCCTTTAACAACATTGATTATGTACAATAAAAATAAAATATCTCAAGAACATTATTTTTTATCGGAATTTCATATTTGCAGTAAATTATTTTTACAAAATTTTGGAGATAAAAAGTAAAATCCTAATTAAAAAAGCTAAATTTGGAAAGCATCTTTGAGATTTTAAATTTAGAGCTGTTTTTTTCTTAAAGGGTGAAGAGTTTTGAAGGAAACAGGTTTGTTTTTAAGATGTTTGTCCTCGATTACGTTTGAACTGTCTTTCTTATATTCCACACAACATGATCTAAACTTCACATGTTAGAGATTCTCTAATTGAAGACCGTTACGTAGAAGAAAAAAAAAAATCTTTGTTGTTACAGAACATTGTTAGATGTAACCTGTGGTTTGTGATATAGGATCAATGCACCTGCACTTTTGCCCAGCCTCTGACACGTCATTCACGGAGGATCCAGGCTGGCTCACTCTTGGAACACCTTTCTCCTGCTCAGCGAACACGGGGCTAGGAGAGACAACTGGCTGCAGCAGCACAAACAGAAGACAGCAGCAAAAAAGAAAGTCTATGTCCATCAATTTTATTGGAATAAAACGAAATATAAAGATTGCAAAAATGTTATATTTTTGTACCGTTTCATCATCGTCATCCTCTTCTGACCAGACCAATGTCATATCGCTCGTCACCTCTTTCTCAGCAGAATTACAGCCGTTGGATTTTCCATTCACTTCTAACATTTGAGAATCGTGGAAATGTAAATCAATCTCTGATCAAATCATAACGTATTGATAAAAATAAAATATGCCATGCTTCACTATACCTGACTTAGATAAAGGCCTGTTGCACTCAGCAGTTTGAACACCATTAGACTTTCTGTCCTTTTGATAAAAAAAACAGCAACATATTTAGGCTGAAGTGTTATGAATTAAAACAAAGCAATCCAAATTTTAACAAGCCAAGATGAATGCACCAACCTCATTACCTCAGAATAAGAACAAAACTTTGTAGATATAATGCTCAAGAAAATAAATTGAACACTAAATTAATTTTTCAATTGAAAATATTAATTCACTACGTAAAGAAATATGCTGAGAAAGCATTAACACAAAAAAATAAATGTAATTTAAAATTATAGTCTCATGGATGTCTGAACTTTGAATTGAATTTAACCATGGAAACTTTCTATCTTTTAGTCCACTACAATTTACATTAAGTACCTGTACTTTCAACTGCACTACAAATTCTAATGCTTTTCATTACCCGTTACATTCACATCACATTGTGTTTTTCATTGATTTGCTTAGTTTGTTTGAGAGTTTGAAAGTAATCAAATGTTAGATGGGAATTGGTCCACTGACAAACAGCAAAGTGAGGAAGTAAGATTCTCCCCCAATAAGAGACATGATCTTTACTGAGCCTCGTTCCAGGGCAAAACGCATCTAAAATGGATTCCAGCACGGAGAGCACGCCAAGAGAACTCCACACTCTTACCCTTAGTTGAAGAAGAGTCCTCTTTAATTGGAGAATTAAAACATATTTAAGGAAGTAAATGTGTTTTAAAACATTTTTACCTCATTATTTGCTCATATACTGCAGCTGAGAAACCTGTCTGTTTGAGGAACTCAAGTCAGCACTATTAAAACCTGGACTACTCGCCCACCCTGTGACAGTCAGACTCTGTTGTCGACTCATACTAGCCCTAAGTGCACTTGCGGACAGGTGAACACATGCACTCTGCCCCACCAGCAGACTGCAAGAGCAACCTTTAATTGGGGGTGGAGAATTCAGATTAGGAAGGATTTCAACCCCCCCAGTTTCATGACAGCTGTTTTCCTTAACCTAAAATTCAGTTTAAAAACAACTCACCTTCCTGCAATCGGGGATATTCTGATCATGTTCAGAACCTCGAACCTCTCCTGGTTTTTCCTGCAGGTCAGTCTTCTGTGCTTCCGTCGATCCAAACACTGGGCTCACTGAGCATTCATCTCCCCGTTCAGCAGGTTCTTGATCAGTGTCCGAATTGATTGCTAACATATCCGAGGGAGTTTTAGGGAAAACAGGGCTCTGGGGAGGGCAAGACCTTAAAGTGGGGATAAAACTCTCCTGAGAGGAGAAGCCAATCTCCTCGTTTTCACACGCAGGGGGTTCAGAGGCATTAGGAGACGTCTCATGCTCTGCAGTCCTGCCATAAATTTGACTTTTAACAAACTTGGGGCTCTGCTCTAACTCTCCTCCATGTCCCTCTTCATCTTCTAAGAACACAGGACTTTTGGGACTAGATACTCTGTTACTCTGTGGAAATACTGGGCTTTTGGGCTGAGCAGAATTTTGAGTCGAAGGAATACTGTCCTCAGAAAACATGACAAACCCAGAGGTTTTACATGTTTCTACTAGATCCCGGTTTAACCGCTTGATGTGGACCTCGGCTTTGCAGCCGGTCAGTGGAAAGACTGGAGACATCTGGAGCTGGGAGTCATCTATATGAGTTGAGTCTGAGCTCTGGTTCAAAAAAAGAAGAGACCAAATAAATCATCAGATACAGTTAAATAGACACAACAAAACTGTGACCCACCTGTGGAGAGTCCAGATTGAGTGAGAACGATTCAGGGCTGCAGAGCGAATTCTGGCAGGAAAGGTTCTGAGTCTGAGACAAATCTGGCATCTCAAGCAGAGAACTGTCTGTACTTCTTTTCTGCTTTTTACTACTGGTAATAGTTTCATCTCCTATGGAAAAAAAACACAATATCGAGAACTCAGAAGTCTGAATTTGATATAAATGTGCTGGTTTTTTTTTAGATTGATAAAAACTTTCGTCACACAGGAAGTCTAACTCCAGCAGAAAGAGTTCCAAAAGACTTGCCTGAGTTCATGTCGCCCTCTTGTGGCAGCTTCTCTCCATTGGTGTATGAGAGTTTTCGGCGAGAGCCTAAACTTGTGGAGGCGGCACCAAGCAGCGATTTATTTGGAGACTTCAGAGAAGGTTGTTTCTGGCTGACCATCTAAGAGAGAACAAACCCACAGGGTTTAAAGCTACATCCAGCAGAATTTAAAGTTTATTCTCACCCTTTTATTGCTTTCCCTCCTATCAAAGTTTTTGTCTAATCTTACACTTTGTAAATCTGTTACTTGGAACAGGGAAGATTTTTGAAAAGTGAGTCTGTATTTTAGTTTGATAAAACAATCTCAATAAAGAAAACAGATTTCTACCAGCATTTGAATATGAACACATTAATCTGAGATGCACCATTAAGAAGTCGTACAAAACGATGCATACTTTCTCAAATCTACTGAGACATGCTGAATTTATTCTGAACAAAAATGAGGAAATAAAGTTAAACCTGAACTCACACTCTCCTGAATGGCTTTCATCACATCCTCATCCTCCCGCTGCTGTCTCAGTGCTGTATTGCTGGCTTCCTGTTTGCTTAGTTGCAAGGCCAGGTCCATCATCTCCTCCTCCGTCATCTCTGAGGAGCAAACAGAGGAGAGGAGAGAACCAATATGAACTATTCTAAAGTCAATACATCAAATAATACATTTTTGGTAAAATCCATCTGTTCTATAGAGATAAGCATTTCCTAACTTAATAAACAGTTAGCATTAAGTATTTTATCAAAATGTGGCTGAAGGATCATATGTCGGACTCCAGCGTCTCTCTGTCGGGTTTCTGAACAAACGAGCAGACAGAGATTTAAAGAAAACTGAAATTCAAAGGAGGTAAGTTGGCAGTGCTTGTGAACAACAGATTATGTCATCAAGAAAATGTTACTGTGAAGACACAACAGCCAAATGCATTTGTGGCAATACATGGAGATTTTAATCACGCCTCTCCCTCTGCTACACTGCCATAGTTCCAACAGGTTGTCAGCTGCTGTACCAGAGAAAACAAAACTTGTTGTTTGTGAAGCATTTGCGTTGTTGTTTGTTTATGCAAACGTCAAGGACTCCTACATCTGTGAAGTAAGACCTCCTCTTAGGAAATCAGGTCTGCTCAGAGTAGCCCCTTTATAAGAGAAAACCTGCAACAACTCGATGAAAAAAAATAAAAAAAACCTATGAGTTACTGCAACATTTTATTTATTTTGGGGATAAATAAAGTACTTTTGAATGGAATTTAATTATATGTCAAAAGCCAGGTGCATCAGCCTCATATTTCAGCCTGTTAGTGATACTAGAGAGATTTTACCTGTGCTATGTTTGTAACTAGAACAATAAACTGACTTAGAAGCGTAACAGCTGTAGAAACTGTGCTAGTTACAAACATAGCACAGGTAAAATCTGTTTATTGTTCTAGTTACAAACATAGCACAGGTAAAAT